TTCTTGTAATAAGTTGGATTATTATAGATATTGACTATTTCCTATTTAAAAAAAAAATCTAATTACTTATTGATTGTATCTATTGGAGTCTATGAAAATCCATCTTGTATTTCACATGTCTCATTTAGAGCCATATAAGATAGTGAATACCTTGAAAAGTAGCCAAATACCATCGTCTCTTATAGAAGTGGGTAATAATAAAAAATTTGAATATCATAGACATATACATATAAAGTAATCCAATATCATGGCTTTCATCATGTTATTAAGTAAATTATACATTAAATACATAATCACATTATTTTCACATAGTAGCCAAACCACAACATGACAGCATGTAAACCAAGTTTAAGAGTAATACTTAAGGTGTACGATCAATTATCAATAAGACAATTGAAGAACCGTCTTGTCATTGATAAAATTTGCTTATAATAATATAATGCATTCTTCTATGTAATAAATACCTTTTTTTTTGCTAATTATGGCTACCATCTATGACTTGATACTTTTAACTTTTCAAAAGTTGATAATCCTATGGCAAAAGATTAGACAATTTATTTCTCAGAGCTATATGCAACAATGAAGGTGTAATAAAAAGAAGCTCAAGAACAATAAAAGATTAACAGGGATGCCTATTGAAAGGAACAACTACAATTCAATGTAGGTGATAAGGTATGGTTGCTTCATCGTAATATCAAGAACAACATGTCTTTCCTCAAATAGAGGGCGAGTTACAATGTGTTTGATATCACGACCTTGAAAGAAACTTTCCATGTTTGATAATTTTATTAGAAGTAGGAATAATTCTTCACAATGTTCCAAATATTTTATTTCAAAGAAGTTACAAAGGCCTCAACAAAGATCAAATAACAAGGTGATCTTCTTGTCCTAGTAAGGAATACTATCAAAGGCTGAGAGGGCCTATCAACTATCTTTGAAGAGAATAAAGATCGTAGTATGCGGCAAATAGAATTCATCGCATCTTGGATTTTTTCAATATATGAAGATCGCTCCTTGTGGAACTTGTCCCTAGAAAGGGGAATAATATCACAAACATACACATGTGAACCAATAATTATCTATATAATATAGATAATAATATATAAAAGTAGGTTAATTCAACAATATCTTCTACAGAAGCTTCATAGATACTACTTTGACTTTATAGATATCTTTAATTGACTTTTTAGATTAGAAAAATGATCAACAAGTTGGCTATGTGCCACACATATTGGTAGCTTAAAGAACAAGCTAATCATATAGCCTACATGTAGAAAACTTGCCTTATAAGTTAAGGCATGTGTCGTACAAAGTCAACACATATTAGAGATCCTATAGAACATTGCCACGTAGCTTTTAGTTAGATAGTATGTACAAAAGCAAGAGTGAAGCCTTCTTCACTCTTCTCAAGTCTTTTCTTGCTTCTAGTCTAGATTTAAGAGTCTTTAGTTTCCTTGTCTTTTGGCAATAGCCACTCCAATTTTCTTTTAATATACATATTACTTTATTTCTATTTTGCCATTTTTTTTTTTTATATAGATTTTCTAAGTTTATGCATCTTCTTTTAGTTCATGTCCTTGACATTGAGATAGAATAAGTCTTAAGCTTAAGGTAGTGTTGACTTAGGTTGGAATATCTTATTCATTAGTATAGAAATAATATTAGCAAATATACATAAAAACCAGAAAAAAATCTTATAAATATAATAAAGAAGGTCAAAGCTTTTCAACAATGATATCCATCAAAACCAAGATAAAGAATAACAAATCTTTGCTAATAAAGAAACAAAATTTAGGAAAGATTGCATTCTACTTTCTATTCTTGTTTATAATCTCAATATAATTATGGCAATGAATCGACAACTAGCAAATTCAACTCAAGAACCATCATCTACTAACTTATTAAATGAGATATTACAATTATCCTAGCTTTCAAAATGACATAATAGAAATGAAGACCTTCAAAAGTGATATGTTTTTTTTTTTCAAATAGATGGTAAGATACAAAGCATTTGGTATCACAACTTGAGAGAGAATCTTGATATTTGGTGATTTTATTAGAAGTAGGAACAATTTCTAATGGTATTACAAATATTTTGTTTGAAAGAAGTTACAAAGGTTTTAACAATGATCAAATAAAAAGGTGAATTTTCTACCCTAGAATGGAACATTATTGATGGCTAAGAGGACTTATCAACTACCTTTGAAAGAAACAAAGATCAGAATATGTGACAAATACAATTTGCCGTATTTTAGACTTCATCAACATGTGATCACCACTCCTTATAGAACTCGTCCTTAGAAAGAGGAATAATGTCACAAACAGATATTTATTATAATAATTATCTAGATGATATGAATAAATAAAAATAGATAAAAGTTAATTAGTTTTATAATATCTTTTAGAAAAGCTTCTTAAAAGCTTTATAGATATTTTGACTTTATATGTATTTATAATTGATTGATAGGTTAGAAATTTAGTGAATAAGTTAAGAATGTGTCGATTATGTTAATAGCTTGTAAAATAAGTTAACTATATGGTGTCCATATAAAAAACTTGCCTTGCAAATTAAGATACGTATTGTGCAAAGTCAACACATTTTGGAGGTCCTATTGAATGTTATTATATAGTTTTTAGGTAGATAGTATATATAGAGGGAAGAGTGAAGCCTTCTTTATTCTTGTCGATTCTTTTCTTATTTTTAGTCTAATTTTAAGAGTATCTAATTTTCTTATCTATTGGCAATAGCCATTCTTATTTTTTTTTTTATATACATACTTCTTTATTTCTATTTTTTTATACTTCTTTGAAAAAGTCTCACTTATTTATTTGCTTTTATCAAGTTCTTGTCCTTGACAATAGAATCTAATGAATCTCCTTTCTAGAAAATCAACTATGTCTACAAAAACATAAAGTCAAACTGATGGCACAAGAATTTGAATGAAAAGAAAGAATTGATTATAAAGAAACAATTGTGCCAGTAATAAAATGGGTGACCATAGAGCAATTATATCAATAGCAGCTCAAAAAGACTACGAATTATGTCATATAGACATTAAAAAAACTTTTCTATATAGAAATTTGAAAGAAAAAGTTTATGCCACTCAACCACAAGGATTTGAAATACATGGAAAAGAACAAATGATTTACAAATTCCAAAAAATACTATATGGATTAAGATAAGCACCTAGAATATGGTATGAAAAGATAGATTTGTACTTAAAAGAAGCGAATTTTCAACAAGGCATATAAGATTATAATTTATACTTAAGGTCATTAGAAAACAAAAATTATTTTCATTGTGTTATATATTGATGATCTTCTTATGATAGAAAATTGTACTAAAAATATGAGCAACTTCAAGAAAAAATTACATAATCATTTTAAAATGTCTAAATTATCCTAAAGAAAAGTTATACTTTATTTAAGTTAAAATACATATAAATTAAAGAAATTTTTTTATGTCACAAAAGACCTAAGTATAGAATATTTTAGCAATCTTTAGTATGAAAAATTGTACTTGAATAATAACCTCTATAAACAAGAAAATTAAACTCAAAAATAATATAAGAGAGAAAGAAATGTATTTAATATTTTATTAAAGCATGTAAAAAATTATCTATCTTTGTCTCATATATGTTGCAACATATAATTTGCTATAGGAATAATGAGCTAATTTATAGCAAGTCCTTAGAAAATACACCCATTAGCGGTGAAGAGAATCTAATAATATATCAAAAACACTCAAGACTATGGAATTTTATATTGAAAAACTAATCACACTCATCTCATTGAATATGTCGACTCTAACTGGGTAGGAGATTTGGAACATGCATGATCCACCACCAATTTTTTCTTTAGTGTAGAAAATATATCTATATCATGATTATCTAAGAGACAACGGATGGTGGATCTATTATCATCTAAAGCAAAATATTGTGTACTAGCAAATGCATCTAAAGAAGCTACTTGGCTAACCATGATACTCAAAGATTTACATCTAAAAATCAAATGACCAACAATCATATACTATGACAATGCTGCAAGCATAAGTATTGCAGCAAATTTGGAAGTTAATCCCAAGACAAGGCACATTATAGTACATTATCACTTCACTAGAGAAAAAATTAAATAAGGCAAAATTAGCCTATAATATGTGCCAACTTTGGAACATGTAGCAGATATATTTACAAAGCCAGTGGGGCATTCTCTATTTGAAAAGTTTAGGAAAAGACTAAATATGGTTAGTACATTCAATATAATCAGACAAAATTAAATACATGCATAAATAAATAAATAAATAAATAAAAATAAAAGGAAGAGAAGGATTCATTAACCTAGAACATACTCTTCGACTTCTACCCTACTTTATTCTTAGCCTTCCTGAAATCTGTTACCTCTACTTTGCATTTCTCTCAAGATTTGTAGACTCCAAGATGGAATCCACATCTAACGGCATAATATTTGTGACTACGAGCTCTAAAAAGCTTCATCTTCGGCATAGCACTGATGTACCAATGAATGTAGTTGAAAATGTCTTCGAAAACACTAACACATTCATTGGTACACTCAAGCAAGGACCGACTCTGAATTTTTTTCAAGAAACTCTCAATGAGTTAAATAAAAGGTATAGAAAAAGCACGGATTTGCGGCTGCTAGTTGAAAAGTTCACTAGTGAAAAGTTACGACCATCCCCCATCTGCGCCATCAAATTTTTCTGCCGTTTCCTCGAATTAGAAAGGCGCCCCCTCTAGATTAGAAACCCTCACAGAGCATGAAGTCGTCAAAAAAATTCCATAGCGAAAACCTTTGCCTAGGACCGTCGGGGACAAGAGAGGGTGTTGGACAGACTCCCCCTTGATCAAACCTCAATAGCACCTAGACATCAACCGTAATTGTTGGGACATAACCTTAAGCTAGAAATCTACTATTAAAGACTAGGATAATCCTCCTGTGTCAGATCAAAGCTTCGCAAGTAAAACGCAGTTTATTCAGTACACCTGTAGTCGTGTCCCTTTCTCTTGAGGTTACTAGTCCGTGTTTGATTCGGTGTGGTTACTTTCTGCCGCTGCGTTACTTTACAGCTACAGTGTGTCATGTTATCTTCTGTGACTCTTTTTAGAGAGTAACCTTGCTTGAGTGCACCAATGAATGTGTTAGTGTTTTGATCGTGAAGTCACAATAGCAAGCACACGCATGGTAGGTTGACATCTCTTCTGCATTTGGCTGTCATGAAATTTAATTTTAATACCACCATGCTTTTTAGCAGAGTTCTCATCGCCTTTTCTTTTTTCTTTTTTCTTTTTTTTTTGGTGGTGAATGGTCTTTTCTGAACTGGGGCTGAGTGCTAGTGGTGTAACATAGTGGAGACTGACGGGGCTTGTGTATCAGGCTCGTTTTAAAGCTATGTGTATCGTGGAAGCTATTCTGCGGCAAGGAGACAGAAAACGATGTGTTTCAGAGAGTTGTAGGGATATTCCAAGAGGATTCCAGTTGTATTGTTGAAAATTCACTATCTCCACAGGTTTCCTTGAAGGAGAAATCTGAGAAGGTCCGTTTCACTATAATCCTAATATTCTAACACATCCAAGTGATGTGCTTCTGTGAATTATCCGGTTTCTGTCATCGGTTTGGCAGTAACAGATTGTTTCGTACTTTTGAGGCTGAAATTATGATATGTTCGGTATTAAATTGACATTGACGTGTTTCCTTATTCCTATGCATATGATGGAATGGATTCTTGCAGGTTTTGGAGTTGCTTGGACTAGGAGGTTCAGAAGGGAGCCGACATACAACAGGGTCCGGCCCTAATCCACCGCCACCGACTTCTCAACAAGCCGTGGTGTTGCCCGATCATATGGATGGTTGGGATGCACCCGAAGGAGTTGATGATGAACAGGTGAATCAGCTTTCTCTAGTTTTATTCTGAATACCTATCTGAACCTATCTGAAGGGAACTCTATTTGAATGCAGAGCAGTGGGAAGATATCTGACCAAGTAGAGATTTTAATCAAAGCTGGTGGTGGATCCTTAGCATCAGCTGCTTCTGATGTCTTGTTAGGAGGTCTTGGTTGGAAGGGTACAGCGAAACCATCGGTTGAGACCACTGCTAGAAGTACGGGAGCTGAAAGCTGCAGTGCATCTCTTGGAAACATTTTTTACATATTAATATGATCAATTCTCAAACAATATAGTGTGTGTGCAAGAGTGACATCAAGAGTCACAACTCTTGGTTTAAGTTCACAATTAATGGGTAGTATTCTATACTATAGATTAGTATACTATACTAAATATCTCTCCTAATACTCCCACCAAAACACTAGTTTTCATTTGTGTAATAAATTTCATCCATAACAGAAGGTCATCTGTTTTTGAACAGATATATGTGAGAAATTTAGAGTTTCAATCTCTTTCTGATGTGGCAATGTTGGAGAGTTCTCTTGTAGTTCTCTCACTGCTTCTTCAATTCTATGAAGGTATGTGATGTCTTCTCTTGATTTGGATGTGTTTGTTGTTTTGTTTGTTGCAGTGCTGTGGTTGGCCCTCCATACAAGTATTGTTGCAGGCTTGGGTGGAAGAGCAAAGAATACCACCGGTGAAGGCACGAAGGCATGTGCCATTGAGGAGGTTGGCCATTGATAGTTGCGGTGAGCTTGTGGAGAGGTGCAAAGGTACACATCATTGTAGAAGTTTGGCTGTAAACTTTGTAACAGGCTAGGTGGCAATTCCGCCAGCAACATGAGCGGTAGACTTTGCTATGAACTCCGCAGTAAGACAGCAGCGGGCTCCTTAGTAGGCGCAACTACGAGTTCCTTAGTAGTTATTGCGGTGACAAGCTTTACAGTAGGTGTGACTGCAAGTTGCGCAGCAAGGCGGCGGCATGTACCAACCTAGATTGTCTCCCACTCCAATTGTGTAATTTTTGATTATTTTAAATAAACCAGTAAGGCTCAAATAGTGGTAGAACAATTAACTTCTTTTGGATGTAGAAGAATTTGATGCATGCCTACTTGAGATAAGCATTGGAAATGTTTCCCTTGGAAAGATTTTTTATAAATATATTTGCTGTCATATGTGTAATTGGCAAATATTGCAGTTTGATTTCCTTCGCAAGGATCTTTTCTTTAGTAAAATGATATTGTGTATCTACATGTTTGCTTTTAGAGTGATATTTGGAATTTTCACTAAAAGCAATGGTACTTTGACTATTTGAATATATGGTGGCTGGTGCATGTTGAGGAAATCCAAGTTCATATAATAAATTTTTTAACCATATGGTTTCAGTTGTGGCTTTTATTAAAGCCATGTATTTTGATTCTGTAGATGATAAAGCTAAAGATTGTTGTTTCTTGCTGCTCCAAGAGATAACTCCTCCAACTAGTAAGAAAAAAAATCTAAAGGTAGAGGAATAAATGTCCTTATCACCTACCTTATCAGCATCAAAATAACCATATAGAATATCACCTTGAGATGAGTATTGATATTTGATTCCAAAATTTCATGTACCTTTGATATATCTCATAGTTCTTTTTAAAGTTTGAATGTGTGTAGATTCTAATTTGGAGAGATATTAAATTAAATTGTTGATAGTATAAGTACAATGTGGTCTAGAATTAACAATGGTATACATTAAATTGTCAACAACTTAAGAATAGAAGTAATCTTGGGAAGTAATGTGATCTTCATTACTTAAACAAATTCCTAGTTGAATTGAGATACTTCATGAGTTGGAATTCAACATACTGAATTCATGAAATTTATCTATTAAATATTTTGCATAATAGAAGATTATCCATCTTTTTTCTTTGTTTTGTAGAATGACATTGCCTAGATTATAATGGATTTTTCTTTCATCTAACATATCAAATTCTTATTGTAGAATATTTTTTACTTATTAAATTAAGAAAAATTATTATTAATAATAATAAAATCATCAACATAAAGTATAATTATGATAAATTTTTTTTCATTTTATCTTTGATGTAAATATTTGAATTTGATTCTAGACATTGATATTTATGAAGAAGTAAGTATTGATCTAATCTTTGATACCATATTCTAAACAATTTTTTAAGACAATAATCCTTTTAGAATAGTTATATAAATATTGTCATAGACATACACATGTAAGCCAGTAATTACCTATATAAATAGGTAGAAGTCGATAGAAATAAATAAAAGTAAGTTAATTCTATAATATCTTCTAAGAGAGCTTTTTAGAAGCTTCATAGACGTTTCTTTGACTTTATAGGTGTCCATTGTTGACTTTTAGGTTAAAAACTTGGTCAATAAGTTAACTATGTACCACGCATGTTGATAGCTAGAAGAACAAGCTAATTATGCGGCCCACATGTAGAAAACTTGCCTTGTAAGCTAAGTCATGTGTTCTGCAAAGTCAACACATATTAGAGGTCCTATAGAACATTACCACATAGCTCCTAGTTAGATAGTATATATAGAAACAAGAAAAAAGGCCTCTTCGCTCTTGTCAATTCATTTCTTGCTTCTAGTCTAGTTTCAAGAATCTCAAGTTTTCTTTTTTTTTGGCAATAAGCCATTCTAGTTTCTTTTTAATATATGTACTTTCTTATTTCTATTTTGTCATTTTTTTCTTTGATATGGATTTCATCGGTTTATGCATCATCTTCCAATTCATGTCCTCGACAAATTGACAAGAGTACACTTATAATATGAGAGCCTTATCTTGTCTTGATTAAAAGTGGATTAATTCTTTCTCATGATAAAACATAAGCTTATTAGAAGTTGCTAATTATCCTCTTCTAAACTGATATTATTTTTAGTATTTTTTTATTCTCAAGTCCTTTCTTCTACTTGTCTTAAGTAGTATTAGATATTTTTTTGAGTATTATTATGGTAGAGCTTTTTGTAATGAAGAGTGCAATTACACAAATGCAAGAGCAATTGAAGGAATTAATGCTTGCGATGCATCAATTTAGCTTTCGACCACAAGAATCAATAAGAATGTCAAGAAGTGAGGATATAGTGATGATTAGAGCTACTTCAACATCTGTACCAAATCATGTCCCTCCATCCATGATAGAACATCCTTCAAGTGTTAGAGAACCAAGAATTGCCCTGCCTGAGAAGTTTGATGGTACAAGATTCAAATTTCAAGGATTTATCAATCAGGTACAACTTATGATTGAACTTTAACCTCAAAGCTATCCATTTTCAGAATCACAAGTTAGATTCATTGCTACACTTCTTTCAAGTTCAGCACTATCATCATTTTCAACTTTTCTTGAATGATAAGATCCAATATTAGATAATCTGGAGGTATTTTTGGCAAAATTTTGGTCCATGTATAGAGAACATGATGCAACTCGTGTTGCAACCAATAAGATCCGTATTTTACAAGAAGACAATTGATTTGTAATATTATACGTTTCACAATTTTGACAACTTGCAACTGATATCAAGTGGGATGATGCTGCACTTATTAGCTAATTTTACTATGGATTATAATATAAAGTAAAGAAATTGATGCTCAACTTATCTAATCCTCAAACATTGAGTCAAATAATTGACTATGTCGTGAAGTATAACAATCGATTTTTTGAATTTTGATCTGAGAGTCATACAAGTAGGCCTCAATATTACTACAATTTGATGGCAATACTAATATCTCCTCAACACATACATTCAGAAGTAGAATATATGCAAATTGATGTGGTACATTTTAAATCTCTTATTGAGCAAAAAAAGACTCATCATTGTGAAGAAGGATTGTGCTTATATTGTGAAGAACCTAAACACACTGCTCAACATTATTTAAAGAAGTGACAAAATGACAAAATGAAGATCACAACTGTCAAAGAAGACAATGTATCAAAAAATAAATTTGTCCAGCTATAATAGGGACATGTGGCTGAAATCTTATACAATTTCTAATGAAGGTCTTGTCCTCTCCTAAGAATCCTCTCTTTGTTTTATAGTAAATGTGTATTTAGGACCTAATAATTATAAAGCCTCTGCCTTGATAGATTCAAGAGCCTCAACTTGCTTCTTAGACATAAAATTTGTTAAAAGTCATAAAATATTATTAGTACAAAAAACTAAACTTGTTCATATAAAAGTCATAGATGGTCATCTCTTGTCTTTTAGAGATGTTACTCATAATATACTTCCTATATTGTAATAATAAATGGTCATAGTAGTTGCATAAACTTTAATATAATTAGATCTCCCTCTAATCCAACCATTTTAGGTTTATCATGGTTAGAAAAGTGTAATCTTTGTATAGATTGGATTTCTTATACTCTTGACTTCTCTAAAAGTACAACTAAGAGTGAAATTAATCCAGTAGAAAGTCATAAGTCTAGCACAATAAAACTTGAGTTTGTAGATGTGAGAATTATTTTGCATGTTGCAAAAGAAGGATCACCTTATGTCATTTACGCCAAACCTATTTCTAATGATGCAAAGACTTCAAGTGGCATTCCAAGCCAATATCAAGAGCTTCAAGACATATTTGAGAAGAAAAATGTGGACACTTTTTTAGAACATTGTTGCTATGATTGCTCAATTGTCCTTCAAGATGGAGCACAACCACTATTTGGACCAATATATAGTTTATCACAAAATGAATTGGCTGAACTCATGGAATATATTAAAAAAAATCTAGCGAAGAATTTTATATACCATTCTAAATGACTAGTAAGATCTCCAATCTTATTTGTGAAGAAAAAAGATGGACCATTATAGATGTATATTGATTATTAAGGACTCAACAAAATCACTGTCAAGAATAGGTATCCTCTATCTTTGATATCCAGACTTCTTAATCAACTGAATTAAGCTAAGATCTATACAAAAATAGATCTACAAAGAACATACAATCTAGTATATATTAAAAAAAGAGATGAATGGAAGACTAAATTTCAAACTAGATATGGACATTTTAAATCCAATGTCATACCTTTAGGACTTACAAATGCATTGGTACCTTTTCAACATCTAATGAATGATTTTTTTTGAGAGTTTTTGGACAATTTTGTTGTTTATTATCTAGATAATATCTTAATCTATTCTAAAAATACAAATGAACATGAACTTCATATTCGTCATGTGTTACAAAAATTAAGAGATGTGGGACTCTATGCTAAGATAAAAAAGTGTGTATTCTATACTATTCAAGTCGACTTCTTAGGATACATCATTTCAAATAATGGACTTATGATGGATCTTAAAAAAGTTCAAACTATTATAGATTGGGAGATTCCAAAAGCAGTAGAAAATGTCCAATATTTTTTGGGCTTTGCCAATTATTATCGGATCTTCATCAAAGACTTCTCTCAAGTTGCAGCTCCACTTATACATTTGACTTGCAAAGACAAACTCGAGTGGAGTAAAGAAGCTGAAGCATCTTTTGAAGCTTTTAATTCACTCTTTATTTTTGCGCCAATCTTGTATTGCATTGACTTTTCTAAGGTAATTTTTATGGAAATAGATGCATCAGACTTTGCTTTAGGTGCCATATTATTACAAATGAAAACAGATGATAAACTTCATCCAATAGCTTTTCATTCTAGAAAATTTTTAGCAATCGAGATTAACTATGAAATCTATGACAAAGAGCTTCTTGCAATCATGGATTCATTTCAAAAATGACATCATCATCTAGAAGGCACTTCCAATCCAGTTACCATGTATATGAACTATTAGAATCTTGAGTACTTCATGTCAACACCTGTTTTGAATTGTTGCCAAGCTCGTTGGAATATGTCTTTATCAAGATTTGATTTCAAGTTCACATATTGATCCAAAAAACAACAAGGTTTATCAGATGCCCTTTCTAGACGTTTTTATCTTATACCAAAAGAAAGAGATGCATCTTTTGATCAATAAAGAACGATTTTCTTGAAACTAGAGCATTTTCATCTTCGAGTAATGAAATCAACATTGATTCTTGATACCACCCTTGTAAAAAAAATCCAATCAAGATATGATTATTTTG